GGCAGGAGACTCACTTGAGCCCAGGAGTTGGAGGTTGCTGGGAACTGTGATGCCAGGGCACTCTACCCAGGGGGACAGCTTGAGGCTCTGTCTCAAAAAAGAAAAAACACAAAGGTATCTGGAAGGATGATACTAAATTTAATAATGGTCACCTCTGGGGAGAAGAGGAGGGAGAAAAAGCAATTAAAAGAGGTGTTCATTTTTTTTTAAGATTACGAAAATGTCATACATATATATACACACAGAGAGAGAGACAGATAATATTAAAAAGCAAGGAAAACCCATTCTGAAATTTTTTTGGAATTTCCAAATTTTTCTGAGCTTTAAGCTGGGATTTTTGTAAGAAAGATAAAAAGAATAACTGGAACAATACAAAATGATAGAACCACCTTGGGAAAGTTTGGCATTTTGTATAACGTTAAACATACACTTGGCATACAACAGTCTTACTGTGAGGTTTTTATCCAAGAAGAATGAAAAGGTTTTGTTCATACAAAAACGTGCACAGACCTCAGTGAATATATTTAAAAAACATTGAGGACAGCACCTGTGGCTCAAAAAGATAGGGCAGCAGCCCCATACGCCAGAGGTGGTGGCTTCAAACCCAGCCCCGACCCAAAAATAAATAAATAAATAAATAAAAATTTAAAAATATTTTTAATAGAACACTGAATTGTACACCTTTAAAAGACAAATTTTGTTGTATGAATTATCTCAAAAAATTATAATTAAGCCTGTACACAATTATTTATAATAACTATTTAAAATTGCTAAAAACTAAAAGCATCCCAGTTATCCTTCAACTACCAAATAAACAAATTAGTACAGCCGTACAATTGAATATTGTTCAGCAATAAAAAAAAGGAATAAACTAGTCATACATGGTGGCAGGCACCTGTATGTAGTCCCAGCTACACGAGAGGCTGGGGCAAGAGGATCACTTGAGCCTAAGAGTTCAAGGCTACAGTGCATGATGGTCGAGTCTGGAACAGCTGCTGCACTCCTGCCTCGGCAATATAATGAGAACACATCTTTTTTTTTTTTCTTTTGATGTATAATGCCCTATAGGGCATGATTTTTTTTTTTTATTAAATGATAGCTGTATATATTGATGTAATCATGGGGTACAGTGTGATGTTTTCATATACAATTTAAAATATTTTTATAAAACTGGTTAACATAGCCTTAATGTTATTTTCTTAGTTATTGTGTTAAGACAATTATATTCTACTCTTAGAAAGATTCACTTGTACACTTGTAAGATAAACCATAGAAGTGATCCCTCCAATCACCCTCCCTCCAACCACCCACTCCTCCCCTCCGCCTCTCCCGTCCCCATATTCTTAGGCTATAATTAGGTTATAGCTTTCATATGAAAGCCATAAATTAGTTTCATAATAGGGCTGTGTACATTGGATATTTTTTCTTCCATTCTTGTGATACTTTGCTAAGAAGAACATTTTCCAACTCCACCCATGTGAACATGAAGGATGGAAAGTGGTATATGTACATAATGGAATACTATTGTGGATGGAATGGAATACTACTAAAGAAATAAAGAGAACACATCTCCTAAAGAAAAAAGAAAGGGTACTTACCTAATACAGCAGCATGGGTAATTTTCAAATGCATTATGGTATGTGAAAAAAGCCAGATTGGAGACTCTGGATGGTGTAATTCCATATATATGATGTACTAGAAAAAGCAGAAACATAGGACAGAAAACATACTAGTGGCTGCAGAAGAGTGGGGAAAGAGTTATAATAATGGGCCAAACAATTTTACACCACTTTGAAGAGGTAGAAGTATGCTAGACCTGGTTGGGGGTGGTGCACAGCTATGTGCATTTGGCAGAATTCAGTGCTATACACTAAAATGGGTGAGTTCTACTATAAGTAAATTGTACTCCAAGGAACCTGATTTTTAAGTGATTGAAATATTGTTTCTGGTTTAGTTTTGAGGTTTACCATAAATCTATTAGATTTAGATTTTAAAGTTGTATAAAGGTTTGTTTTAAAAGAATGGTTTTTGTTTAAAAAAAAAGTCCCTATTATCTACAGTACTTAATTGTGCTGGAAACTTTATTTTGGGATTGTCTAATAGAGGAAGACAATAAATTTTGAATGTTCAAGAATGGACATTGATTCATAACACCAAAATATGGTATTGAGAAGATGGTATTTCAGAATAGTGGAGGCATTTCTTATATACTAGTATGTAACATTATTTGTAGAGAATCATTTCTGCATAATTTTCATAGCTAAATTTCTTTTTTTTTTTTTTTTTGAGACAGAGTCTCACTTTATTGCCTTTGGTAGAGTGCTGTGGTGTCACAGCTCACAGCAACCTCCAACTCCTGGGCTTAGGTGATTCTCTTGCCTCAGCCTCCAAGAGCTGGGATTGCAGGCACCTGCCACAAGGCCCAGCTATTTTTTGTTGCAGTTTGGCTGGAGCTGGGTTCGAACCCACCACCCTAGGTGTATGGGGCTGGGACCCTACCCACTGAGCCACAGGCACCACCCATAGCTAGATTTCTTTAAACCATTTGATGGTTCTAGATTGCTTCATGTTGCATATCGGTGTTTTAGAGTTAAAATATACACATAAATGTAGCTATTAAATTGGCTCAATATGTCCTTTAAAAAGAGAAATTTAAAATAGTAACTGTGTCTAAAGAATGGAATATAATATAATAGCATACAGCCTCTGTAAGCTGACCATCCAGGGGTAATAAACTGGTCAACATAGGGAGGTGGTCAACATAAAAAAATAGGCCTACTATACTGATACATACATGTGTGGTTTATAAAAATTAGGTCAGTTTAAGGAGGTGGTCACTGTAGGGAGGTGGTCAGCTATGGAAGTTCTGCTGTATAAAATATATTACTTGCTTATAGTGTAGAGTGATTCTTGCTTACTTATAGTGTAGAGTGATTCTAGAATATATATTTCACATTGAGAAAATTTGTCTTTTTTTTTTTAAACTTTCCAAGGTGAGGAAGAAAATGCTTCCCGTTCTTCTGGATGGGCATCCTATCTGCATAGTTGGTCTGGACTTCGATAGATTGGTGGAAAGAAAATTCTTCGTTAACCAAATAGAATCCATTTTGCAAAAATGGTTCATGTATATTACTGTCATTCTTTGTCAAAAAGTATGTATATAAGGTCACATCTACATATGTTTGTATATATATATGACAGATGTATTTTTAAAGTCTCAGCTGGAAGTGAAAGTATAGCAGCTTGTAGAGTTGATACCAGTCCGCGGCCCTCTGCCTCCCGTGCACTCCAGGCTCGCTGCCATAATGAAAACATGAAGAAGAGTCCACTCCCCCGTCTCTGGAACCTCAGTACTGTGAATTTTGAAGTTAAACTAAATTTTGATCCTGTACCAACTGGAATTTAGGCTTTTAAAATAATGTTCCAAGACTTATTTATTGCAAAGTCAGATTTTGCAGATAGATTTGTTACTAGTTATAAATTTCTGAGAAAATGTGATCATACTATGAAGGAAAATGTTTTATTGGAGAGTTGGCTTATGTTTATTTAGGGACAATGAAATAAATAAATTATGCTAAGTTAAAAGAAAAGTTACTGAGTTTAAAATGAACTCAGAGTTTTTCCCTCTACAATACATTTTCTCAGAACTCATTATGTTGTCAGAAACCCTAGTACTGGCTGGCGTGACACTAAGGAAAAAGAAGACCACCACCTAGTTGGGGGGCTTTCAATGGTGCCTCTCCAGGCTTTTGGTGTGGGACCAGTACTTTCAAGCTACATAGTAGAAGTCTGTTTTAAGAATTCACTCCATCTCCCCAAATAAAAACATGCCACAGCAGCGACTATATTTTTCAACATTGTGTCTGACTATGAAATTGGTGCTTCTAATGTTTCGGGGCAGATAATGTCATGGCTTTCCATCAGATGGACTTTAGAAAGTCAGTGCCACATTTTCATGGTTTTTGTGAATAAGCCTAGATAATAATGTTACTTGCCTTTGATGCCTCTGAATATGTTGTAATGACTAGATCAAAATTGTGTCCTTAAATCAAAAATTTTAGAATTCTATTTTTAATATTTGTTAATAAATCACCACACAGTATGCTCTTGGAAGTTCTCCTAAGCCTTCCACTTACACTCTTGATTTTCAGTCTTACTGGAGAACTTTGTACTTTGGTTACATAGAACATTGGTTTCCAACTTAGTTTAACTGAAACTTGCTGCTGACATGTTAAGTTTGTTCTTTAAAAAATATTTCAATATTTCTTTCTTCCTGTCTTAGAAGAACAGACTTAACTAGTGAATGTATTAATGAAAATGCATCTATTTCAGAGCTGACTTTAAGAGTTTAGTTTTTTTACTTTGTAAACTGTGAATATGAGTATGCCAGCAGCATACAGTAAACTGTAATAGTATTTAAATCAATTTCACTTTTCTTTGAGTGTAGCCTTTTGAAGTCTATATAAACTTGTTTGGAAATAGTCTCTACTTGAATGTAATAACAAAAATATCTTTTGCATGATAAGAAATTATTAATTTGATTACAAAAGGCATATTCTTTCATGGTTTCAGCAATAAGAGATGTAATGATTATTTTAATATTTCTATTAAAAATGTTTAACTGTATATTATAAATTTATGGCTGCTCTTTTTCTGTTAGAGACTGTCTCTTTGGGGTTTTTAATTGGTTTAGAAGTTGGAATTGCAAAGTCCTTTACTATAGTCCTGCCACCACTGGAACCTATGAGATGCTTGAGAGAATGTAGACTGACCCTTACATGCCACATAGACCTGCCATGTCTGACACACTCCTTCCAGCTGAAAGTGGAAAACAACACTGGGCCTTTCTTAGGACAAGATGAGCACTGATGCGCCCCACAGGCAGGTATCTGGCTGAGGCTGCTTGCCGAAGGATGACCTTAGATGAAGAACTTTGTTCAGTTAGAAGCAGATCCTTAGAGTTCTTTAGAAATTTGGACTGGGAAATGGGAGAAGCAGAGAGAGAGAGAGAGTAATATAAGAAGGAGCAACCAAACTGACCTGGGAAAGGATAGGACATGGTAGCCAGACTTGGGTGGCCTTGGGAGAAGCAGCTTTCCAGCCCTGGGCCAGGTGCACTCATCACTCTTTTATTTCTTAAGAGCTGAATTCATACATTAATAGCTGAGCAGTGGAGGCTGATGCACCGTCCTTAAGTTCAGTCATCCTCTGTGGTTTTAAGGCATCTCTTTTTGTAGTGAGCTTTGCTTGTGCTACATTAAACAAACTTTGGCCGAATTATAACTGAACTGCAAGTTAATGCTTCAGTACTAAAGGCATACAGTACTTTGTGTTCTTCTTAAACTCCATTTTAGCTAATGATAGAGCTGGAAATGTATAGTATTGAGTGTATTGAGTATTGAAGGTTTCCCTACAGATACATTCTGGTATTTGGTGAATGGCATAATGCACCAAAAAAGCATTCCTGTATGATTAAATTGTAATATAGTGACTCCAACTTGGTCAGACTCTTATTTTGCCTTGGTATCTGAAAATCATCTTAGCTTCACAATTAATACTCACCAAGGGAAACAACCTGCACAATTTTGCAAATATCTTTGAACTAATTCTCATCCATGGGTATTAGAAAGCATTTGGTTATGTATAAGATGCATAGGGGAAAAAATCTTTTCACCTGCAGTAAAAAAATATAACTACGTGAAAAAGAATCATGTTGTGACCTTCAAATTATTGCTTTGAAAAAACAGAAAAATTGTATGAATGAACAGAGAATATGGTTCTAAGCTACCCCTGTGCACATTTGGTAGTATAAGTCAATGGAAAGCAAATAGCTGGGAGGGGACAGAGGGGAAAAATAAATTCATACCTCATGGGCATAATGCACACTTACAACTTTTAACTCAAACTGTATATAAGCAATTCATATATAATTCAAAACATTTGCACCCCCATAATATTCTGAAATAATAAAAAAACAAAGCACAATGTAAAGGTATATGGCAGACTCCTGGGAATGAGACACAACTACAATAGGGACCTTACCTAATCAATGTAAATATGTAACTTAATCATATGTACCCTCACATTAATCTGAAAAAAATAAAACCACTAAAAGTAATGAAATAATGAAAGTAATCAACTTGGTTTTCCTTCAAGGATGGGCTCATTTTGAACATGTGGTCACCGCTCCAGATGTTGGCCTAGCATTTGAGGTGACAGTCTCCCCAACTCCTACTTTTCTGGGAACTTTTGCCTCGCCACCATACAGAGGTGCAGATAGGCCCAGTGACAATCAACTAAAGCAGACGCAGAGTTTTGACCCAATTCTAGTGAATTAGGTCCTCTCAGGAATATGGATTTGGTACTAAAGAGCACAGAAGCCCTGATAATGTCCAGGAAAAGCAGAGAAAGGCAGCCAACAGAGAGTGCAAAGAGGTTTAAGCTGACAGGGATAAACAGAATCCTGGTGTGAGAACTCCAGGGACCCGAGAATAATCAGTTTTCCTATGCCTTTAAATTTCTTGCTAATTACTAATGATGCTGAGTACCTATGTTATTGCCCATTTCTGTTTCCTAGTCCATGGAATGTCTGCTTATTTGCAGGCATACATCTTTTCAAACCACTTCACTTTATTGCACTTCACAAACATTGCCATTTTTACAAATTAAAGGTCTCTGACAGCTCCAGGTTGAGCAAGTCTATTGCCACCATTTTCCAATAGCATGTCTCCGTCATATGTTAATAACTCTCACAGTATTTCATACTTGTTCATCATATCTGTATACTGATCAGTGATCAGTCATGTTACTCTTGTAATTGTTTGAGGATGCAACAAATTTTGCTCATATAGGAAGAAGAACCTAATAAATGTATGTGATCTGACTGTTCCACTGACTGCCTATTCCCCTGTCTCTCTCCCTCTCCTTGGGTCTCCCTATTCCCAGAGACACAACAATATTGAAATTAGACTAATTACTAACCCTACAATGTCCTCCAAGTGTTCAAGTGAAGGGAAGTCACACATCTCTCATTTTAAATCAAAACTTAGAAATGATTTAGCTTAATAAGAAAGGCATGTCGAAAGCCAAGATAAACTGAAAGCTAGACCTCTTGCACCAAATAGCCAAGTTGTGAATTCAAAGGATAAAGTTCTTTTTTTTTGAGACAGAGCTTCAAGCTGTCCCCCTGGGTACAGTGCTGTGGCATCACAGCTCACAGCAACCTCCAACTCCTGGGCTCAAGCGAGTCTCCTGCCTCTGCCTCCCAAGTAGCTGGGACCACAGGCGCCCACCACAACGCCCAGCTATTTTTTGGTTGCAGCCATCATTGTTGTTTGGTGGGCCCTGGCTAGATTCGAACCCGACACTTCAGGTGTATGTGGCTGGCACCTTAGCCACTTGAACCACAGGCGCTGAGCCAAGGATAAAGTTCTTGAAGGAAATTTAAAGTGATACTCCAGTAAACACATGAATGTAAAACAGTCTCATTGCTGAAAGAAAATTTTAGTGGTCTGGGTAGAGCAAAACAGGGACAAGATTCCCTTAAGCCAAACTATAATTCAGAGTAGGACTCCTAACTCTTCAATTTCTATAAAAACTAAAAGAAAACTACAGGAAAAAAATTTTTGAAGCTAGTGAAATTTTTTATTCATGATATTTAAGGAATGAAGCCATTTCCATAACATAAAAGTGCAAGGTGAAGCAGCAGATTCTGATGTAGAAACTACAAGTCATCCAGAAGATCTAGCTAAGATCATCGATGAAGGTGGCTGCACTAAACAACAGACTTTCTTTTTTTTTTTTTTTTTTTTTTTTTTTTGAGACAGAGCCTCAAGCTGTCCCCCTGGGTAGAGTGCCATGGCATTACAGCTCACAGCAACCTCCAACTCCTGGGCTCAAGCGAGTCTCCTGCCTCTGCCTCCCAAGTAGCTGGGACCACAGGCGCCCGCCACAACACCCGGCTATTTTTTGGTTGCAGCCGTCATTGTTGTTTGGCGGGTCCGGGCTGGGGATTCGAACCTGCCACCTTAGGTGTACGTGGCTGGCGCCTTAGCCGGTTGAGCTATAGGCGCCGAGCCAACAACAGACTTTCAATGTAGATAAAATGGCCTTCTATTGGAAGATGTAATCTAGGGCTTTCATAGCTGAAGAGGAGACGTCAGTGCTTAGTTTCAAAGTTTCAAAGACCAGGCTGACTCTCTTGGTAGTGCCTAATGCAGTTGGTGACTTTAAGTTGAAGCCAATGTTCACTTACCATTCCG